GCGCCTGGGTGGCTCAGTTGGTTAAGCGACTGCCTTCGGCTCAGGTCATGATCCTGGAGTCCCTGGATCGAGTCCCGCATCAGGCTCCCTGCTTGGTAGGGAGTCTGCTTCGCCCTCTGACCCTATCCCTTCTCATGTGCTCTCTCTCTCTCTCAAATAAATAAATAAAATCTTTAAAAAAGAAAAAAAAAGAAGCTGAAATCATTCATCAGGACAAAATCTGCACAGGACTTCTCACCCCGGAAGGTGACTGCCGGTCTTCTACCCTGTGATTCCATGAAAGAGGCTGATTCCAATTATTATGCATTCTCATTGAGGCTTCTTAAATGTATTTTTAAAGTCTATTTATTTATTTATTTAGTAATCTCTACACTCAATGTGGGGCTCAAACTTACAACCTCAAGATCAAGAGTTGTATGCTCTTCGGACTGACCCAGCCAGGCACCCCTTAAATATATTTATAAACATAAGGGATTCATATGTTACAAAAACCCATCTAAAAATACTCTATTTCAGGGATGCCTGGGTGGCTCAGTTGGTTAAGTGTCTACCTCCGGCTCAGGTCATGATCCCAGGGTCCCGGGATCGAGTCCCGCATCGGGCTCCCTGCTCAGTGGGGAGTCTGCTTCTCCCTCTCCCTCTACTGCTCCCACTGCTTATGCTCTCACTCTCTCTGACAAATAAATATATAAAATCTTTAAAAATAAATAAATAAATAAAAATACTCTGTTTCCATGGTTCAATATTTGCAAATCCATCGATGTGATACATCACATCAGGGACGCCTGGCTGGTTCAGTGGGAGGAGCGTGCGACTCTTGATCTCAGGGTTGCATTCAAGCCCCATGTTGGCTATAGAGATTACTTAAAATAACATCTTTTTTTCAAAAAGATTTTATTTACTTATTTTTAGAGAGAAGAGCAAGAGCGGGGAAGGGAAGGGGAGAGAGAGAGAGAATCTCAAGCAGACTCCCTGCTGAGCATGGAGCCTGATGCAGGGCTCAATCTCACAACCCTGAGATCATGCCCTGACCCAAAATCAAGAGTCAGATGCTCAACCGACTGAGCCACCAGGCACCCCTACTTGAAAATCTTAAGAAAAAATGTGATACATCATATCCATAAAGAAAGAATAAGAACCATATGATCATTTCAATAGATATAGAAAAAGCATTTGGCAAAGTGTAACATGCATTCATGATAAAAACTCTCAACAAAGTATGTTTAGAAAGAACATACCTCGACATGATAAAGGCCATGTATACAAAACCCACAGCTAACATCATACCCAACACGGGGCTTGAAGTCACAACACAAAATAAACTCAAAATGGATTAAAGACATAAATGTGAGACATGAAATCATAAAATTCTTCGAAGAAAACATAGCAGTAATCTCTTTGACATTAGCCATAGAATCATTTTTCTAAGTATGTCTCCTTTGGCAAGGGAAACAAAAACAAAATTAAACTATTAGGACTACATACAAATAAAAAGCTTTCACACAGTGAAGGAAACCATCCACAAACAAAAAGGCAACCCACTAAATGGGGGACAATATTGGCAAATGACATATCCAATAAGGGGTTAATATCCAAAATATATAAAGAACTTATACAACTCAACACCAAAAAAACCAAATAATCCAATTTTAAAATGGGCAGAGGACATGAACAGACACTTCTCCAAAGAAGGCATACAGATGGCCAATGGACACATGGAAAGATGCTCAACATCACTCATCATCAGGGAAACACAAATCAAAACCACACTGAGATATCACCTCACACCTGTCAGAATGGCTATGACAAGACAAGAAACAACAGGTGTTGGCAAGGATATGGAGAAAAAGGAATCCTTGTGCACTATTGGTGGGAATGCAAGCTAGTACAACCACTATGAAAAACAGTACGGTGTTTTCTCAAAAAAAAATAAAACAGGGGCGCCTGGGTGGCTCAGTCGTTGAGCATCTGCCTTCAGCTCAGGTCATGATCCCAGAGTCCTGGGATCGAGCCCCACATCGGGCTCCCTGCTCAGCAGGAAGCCTGCTTCTCCGTCTCCCACTCCCCCTGCTTGCGTTCCCTCTCAAATAAATAAATAAAATAAAATAAAATAAATAAAATTTAAAAATAAATAAAAATTGAATTACCATATGATCCAGTAATTCCACTAGTGGGTATTTACCCAGAGAAAACAAAAACACTAATTCGAAAGGATATATGCACTCCTATGTTTATTGCAGTATTATTTACAATAGCTAAGATATAAAAGCAACCCCAGTGTCCATCAATAGATGAATGGATAAGGAAGATGTGGTATACATATGTCCAATGGAATATTACTCAGCCACAAAAAAAGAATGAAATCTTGTCATTTGCAACAACATGGATGGATCTAGAGGGTATAATGCTAAGTGAAATAAGTCAGTCAGAGGGGGTGCCTGGGTGGCTCAGTTGGTTAAGCAACTGCCTTCGGCTCAGGTCATGACCCCAGGGTCCTGGGATCGAGCCCTGCATGAGGCTCCCTGCTTGGCGGGGACCTACTTCTCCCTCTCCCTCTGCCGCTCCCACTGCTTGTGCTCTCCTGCTCTCTCATTCTGTCCAATAAATAAATAAATAAATAAATAACTCTTTAAAAAATAAATAAGTCAGTCAGAGAAAGACAAATACCATATGATTCCATTCATATGTGGAATTTAAGAAACAAAACAACTGAACAAAGAAAAAGAAGAGACAAACCAAAAAACAAACTCTTAGCTACAGAGAACAAACTGATGGTTACCAGAGGGGAGGTGGGTGGGGGAATGGGTAAAATAAGTGAAGGGGATTATGAGTACACTTACCGTGGGGCACCGAGGTGGCTCAGTCAGTTAAGCATCCAACTCTTGATATCAGCTCAGGTCTTCATCTCATGGTCATGAGTTCAAGCCCCACACTGGGTTCCACACTGGGCATGGAGCCTATTTAAAATTTAAAATTTTTTTTTTTAATTTTTAAAAAAGAGTACACTTATCATGAACACTGAGTAATGTACAGAATTGTTGAATCACTATATTGTACACCTGAAAGCAATATAACACTGTATGTTAATTATACTGGAATTTTTTTTTAAAGATTTTATTTTTACACAATCTCTACACCCAACATGGGGTTCGAACCCACAACCCTGAGATCAAAAGTCTCACGCTCCCGATTGAGCCAGCCAGGCACCTCAATACTGGAATTTTTTAAAACAATAAATAAATAAATTTATTACATTTCATTGGAATAATTACTAATTATCCATTTAAAATAGGGTTTGCAGCATAAACTTGTATACAGAATACTGACATCATTTCATAGGTGGGGAGACTTTGGTGTAGGACAAAATAAACTAATCCCGAAATCAATTCCGTTAAGTGTACCTCCTGTTCCTGCCTCTCCTTATTCCCAACCCTCACCCATTTCACTTCGTCCATCCTACAGTTCATTGTGGCTTTTTTTTTTCATGAGGAACTTTGTATGTTTTGTTTCACAGAACGAAAGATTTGCTGTTGTGTCCTCAGCTCCCAGAATGGTGCCTTGATCAATAGCCACTGTATGAATGAATCGAACATCTTAATATTTATTTGGGTTTATCCAAGTCGGATTCCTGATCAAGAAGACTTATACCCTGCTCAACACCAGAAGTTTATCTTTTCTTTCCTTGTAATTCTTTTCAGGTTATAAAAGTAACTTGGAAAATTTGAAAATTTTGAAACGCAGACAATCTCCAGGGCCGACTGGGTGGCTCAGTCGGTTAAGCAGCTGACTCTTGATTTCGGCTCAGGTTGTGATCTCAGGGTCATGGGATCAAGCCCCAGACATAGGGCTCTATGCTCAGAGTGGAGTCTGCTTGCCCCTCTCCCTCTACCTGCCGCCCCCTGGCTCGCGTATGTGCACTCTCTCTCTAAAATAAATAAATAAAACTCTTAAAAAAAAAAAAAGAAATATAGAGAATTTGGAAACAACAGAAAGTATGAGAGAAGAATTCCTGACATCTTACTACTCTAGTAAGTAGACTTACAGACTACTAGATAGACTACACAAACAGTCAAAGGTTTTTACAACTGCAATTAATCAAGTCGTCCGTGTCCATGATGGAAATATTAGAAACTAGCAAAAAGAAAAAAGGGAAGAAACAGTGGCATTCTCAAAGCAGAATGGCTCAGGACTTGAGCTTTAAAGACAGAAGCCTGCAATTAGCAAGGGCTGCTGGAAGGTTACTCTGAGCTGCCTGACAGCTTGAAGTTCAAGAGCTACAAGGTCTGGCCCAGCCCCCAGATTTGCAAGCTCAAGGGCAAGAGGACAGATGCAGGCCCCCATATCACATGTCTACTTAAAACATATACATCAGAATTTGAAGTCAAAGTGATTTAAATCATGCTGAAATTTTAATAATTTGAATTTTTATTTTTTAATTTTAATAGCTTATCATTTTTTTTAGTAATCTCTACACCCAATGTGGGACTCGAATGCACAACCCCTAGATCAAGAGTCGCATGCTCTTCCTACTGAGCCAGCCAGGCGCCCCACTAATTTGAAACTTTCTTTTTTTTTTTTGAAGATTTTATTTATTTGAGAGAGAGAGAGTGAGAGAGAACATGAGAGGGGAGAGGGTCAGAGGGAGAAGCAGACTCCCCACTGAGCAGGGAGCCCGATGTGGGACTATGATCCTGGGACTCCAGGATCATGACCTGAGCTGAAGGCAGTCACTTAACGAACTGAGCCACCCAGGTGCCCTTAACTTTCATTAAGGGATGCCTGGGTGGCTCAGTCCGTTAAGTGTCTGCCTTCGGCTCATGTCATGATCCCAGGGTCCTGTGATCAAGTCCCACATCAGGCTCCCTGCTCAGCAGGGAGTCTGCTTTTCCCTCTCCCCCTGCCGCTCCCCCTACTTTGTGCTCTCTCTCTCTGACAAATAAATTAAAAAATAAAATATGAAACTTTAATTAAATCTTGTTAAATGTTTTTATAAATATATAACTTTTTGCATTATTAGTGTCCAATGTCCATCTAAGCTCCACTGTAGAGAACTAATACCATGCTTCCTGTATGTCAAAAGTTTATGGGGCACCTGGGTGGCACAGTCAGGTAAGCATCCGACTCATGGTTTCAGCTCAAGTCATGATCTCAGGGTTGGGGGATTGAACCCCGAGTCAGGCTCTGTGCTCGGCCAGGAGTCTGACTGAAGATTCTGTCCTCCCTCCATCCCTCCCCCTACTCTCTCTCTAATAAATAAATTTTTTTTAAAAAAGAATGTATCTGGGCACCTGGGTGGCTCAGTCAGTTAAGCATCTGCCTCCAGGTCCTGGGATCGAGCCCCACATCTGGCTCCCTGCTCAGTGGAGAGTCTGCTTCTCCCTCTCCCTCTGACCCTCCTTCCTGCTTGTGTTCTCTCTCTTTCTGTCTCAAATAAATAAATAAAATCTTTAAAAATAAAAAACAAAAAATAAAATAAAAAAGAGTGTATGTTTATAGATATGCGGATGTATAGACGTAAGAGTAATATTAATTTTTTAATGTTTCATGGTTTTCCTTAGCCACCACGCAGTACCTCTGGAACCACCATTTGGAACACAGAGAGAAACAAGAATAGGGACCCACAGCATCAGTGGGAAATGATACTTGGCTACCTGTGAATCTCTTGCATTCATGCTATCTGGAAGGGTTTGATGCATTAATTTGTCCTTTCTTTCTCCTAAGACTCTACTGCTCAAATTCCCTCCTTACTCCAAAGCAGTGGCCATCTCCAAGATCCAAGGAGGCACAACCCACAAACTTTCATGGCATCCATAAATAGTCGCCTTTTGTTTTGAGAACACAGCACAAGCGCGGTGCAGAAGTATTTCCCTGGGGCCTCAACAGTATCAGTCATGCAAGTAGCTGTTCCAAGAAGAGCACAGTTCAGGGTTTAGGACTAGGCCAGCACTGACCACTGCATCCCAAGGCGGAAGTGCCCATGCAATCTCTACCATGTGCTTTCTGTGTGTTCTTATGGCAATGTGGCACCTTCCAAAGCATGGAGCCCAGGCCAGGGCCCTCTGGCCCAGGTCCAAGGGCAATATTGGATTAGGAGCTCCCTTTGCTGCCTGGAGCAGCCCAGCCCACGTTGTGGGCCCATCCAGGACAATGCAGTAAAAGAATGTGGCCAAGAATGCTTCTGGCCAATCCCATGCTTCACCGGACATGCACACTTTGGAGCAATTGGCCAGAGGCATTACCACGGGCAGAGGTGGCCTGACCTGCTGCAATGCTGGTCTGCGGGAAAACAGGCTCCATCCCAGGCAGGCTCTATAGCATCTTTCGTGGAGAGCCCTGGCTGCTTCCCTAACCTCACTGAAGCCAGGAAACACTGACCATGTGCAAGATCCTCTGGCCCTGGGATGGGGTGGAGGGCACTGGGAAGCAGTTCCATGAGGGAAGCTGGCTTGATGGGAACCCAAGGGACCAGGCTGAGGAAGCAGGTGCCCCCACAGCCATGGAGAGCTAAATAGGCACCAGCCTCATTCACAAGATTTCTGGGAAAAGACCATAGATGAACAGGTGAGGTGGTCAATGTCTGCCATTCCTCCTTTTCATAGCCAAAATGTCCTCAGATGGAGGGCAGAGGAAAACGGCGAACAGAGCCACAAGTATACATGGGCAAAGTTCAGACTACAGGAAACCCTCCAGGACAAAATGCCTCAAGGCCTTCAACAGCTAGATTATAAGGAAAAGAAAGAAATGGAAGGGGTGGGGGGATAGGTTAAAAGTGACTTAGAAGACATTTGAATAAAAGTTTTTAAAAGGCAAGCTAAAAAAAATTTTTTTAAGGCAAGGTAAACTATAGTATGTAGGAATGTACAGCTGGATGATAAAACTATTGCTTTTTGTGATTAGCAGAGAAGTCAGGATCACGGTTACATGGTGGGGAGGGAGGTGGTATGGTTCGGATGGGAAACATGAAGAGGTTTCTAGGGCGTCTGGCAAAGCTCCATTTCTTGACCTGGTTGGTGGTGACAAGGATGTTTGGCTTAAAATAAGTCACTGAGTCATACATTTGTTTTGTTATGTCTGTGTTTTCTTTTATAGTAAAAAGGGTTTTGCTTTTTAAAAAAATCTCCCCTTGAGGGGCACCTGGGTGGCTCAGTCGGTTAAGCATCCAACTCTTGATTTCGGCTCAGGTCATGATCTCAGGGTCGTGAGATTGAGCCCCATGTCGGGCTCCGCGCTGAGCGTGGAACCTGCTTGAGATTCTCTCTCTCCCTCTGCCCCTTTCCCCCTACTCACACACTCTCTCTTTCTTTAAATAAATAAATAAAAGTTATTTTAAAAATAAATAAATAAAAAATCTCCCCTTGAATATTAGTTTGCTATATAATCCATGAGGACTTTGTTTTGGTGTTCTTAGGACCCAGAAACCCTCAGTATAGTTTTAAAATTTCCATTTCTCTGGTATCTGTTGTGGCCACACCATTCCTGCAGATGTTTTCCAGATGTCGATCATATGTTCTGGCTATTTTGAGTGAGCCCTGATTTTAAATAGTCTATCTGCTTGTCATTACAAATCATCATTTCCCCTGAAATTCTAGGATCCTGATGAATTATATGTAAATGAATGAAATCATTAAGCATTTTTTGAGACAGCAGGGTTGGGAAAAAAAAAAAAACAGCACCTCACAATTATTCACAAAGTTGAGTTCACAGCGGCCCACAGTCAGCTGAGGGAAGACTGTGTGTGCAGTGCATTCTGGTTAGAATGCCTGACTGAGGACAAGGAGCCAGACAGAACAAGAGAATAGTGGCAAATATTTCTAGACTCTTCCCTGAGCAATGTCCACCTCCTTGAGGTACAGTGGTTGATATCCAAGGGACCAAAGATGGTACATAGATTTCTACTGAAGTAAGAGGAGCTGGAGCGTAGGCCTGGTTCAACAACCATGGGGGCCAAGGGTGGGAAAGTAAGGTCAGTGGGCAAGTCTCCAGGCTAGAAGCAGAGACAGAAACAGGGGCAAGGCCAGGGGGCAGGAGATAAACAGGACAGGAGCGGGACTGTGTGTGGAAGTGGTGGCTTTCTTTGCTGGCCATCCATCTTACGGGAGGTGGTAAGATGACCTGATTTATGGGCAGCCCCCACCCTTCTGCCCTCTCCCAACTAGGCAGCTGGGCAGGGCAAGGCAGAATCAAGGCTGCTCCAAATTCATCTGA